CATGCACAGCTAACATGGAAGTACTGTAATCTAACTGAAGTCGTTGTACAGGCAACACACCAGTTTCTGCAGCCACCGTTGTTAGTCCCTTGGTTCATATTGACTTAAGCACACTTGACATCAATTGCATCAAGATGTGACATGTTTTATAAGAAAAAAAAAAAACATTTAAAATGAAAAAAATATTTTTAGGTATTTTCACAAACAAAAACTGGCTTTTAAATAAATTTGCTTCCATAATGGTTGAATATGACAAAAGAAAAAAAAAAAGAAAAAAAATCTAGACTGCGGGGAAGTGGAATATGAAAATAAGGCTTAAGGCATCAGTTCCTTATTTTTCAAAGCCAAATATGTAATGTTGAGAAGAAATAATAATTAAAAGGTTCAAATCTTGTAATTTAATATTGTTATTAAAACTTTGCTGTATATCCTATTCTTTAACATTTGGTGTTAATATAAAATTACTTGGCAATGCTTGACATTTGAAATAAACTTTTTTCTATGGTTTTATTTGCAAGTGTTCCATTAATTTTACTAGCTACAGTTGGGTTATAAAGAATCTGAAATCTAAAAGGACACTGTCAAGGTTGGGTCAATGTTTTAGTTTTTGGCAGTGTCGCCACCCCCAGCTGACTTGAATCTGTTCCACAGTTTTTTCTACAGACGAGCCCAAGCTGTGATGCTCAGATACGCACTTTGAACTCTGAAGATCAAGGTTATTCTGGGTTGGAGTAGTACTTGATACCAGCACATGAGGAGTCAGATAGGTGCTGATTTAGAGCTCCTCTTAACTCTGACGTGCAGGGACTTACGTTCCAAAGATTTGGTTCATATCTATCTCTACTTTTGTACAATTGCATTCATAAATACATGTACAGAGGGAGAAGACTATCGGTAAAAATTGATAAATGGCAAGCAGTAAAATAGTGTTAAATATTTTTTTAAAGTATGAAACAAACACAGTTCTCAAATTGCTCCTTTAAGGAAGCAGTTTCAAACTGTTAAAAGGTAATTCTAAGCAGTAGCTAGTAAAGTTCTTTGTTATGAAAAAAAACCCAAAACCTTGGCAATGTCTTTTTGAATTAAGATCAATAATAGCTCGAATTAGGTGCAAGTCTGTACTGATGAAAATATAAAAACTTTCCTGAATCTTAATCATTATGAATATTCTTTGCTATCTGAAGTTACCATACGTTTTAATTATGTGTATTTAAAAATGATAACTCTACTTACAAAGCAAAAAGGAATCCTAGGAGAGGTGCAATAACGTTAATTTAAATGCTAATGCCAATCAAAGCAACATCACGTTTCTCTAGCTTTCCCTGTAGATAAAATTGCGTACATTTGGTTGAAAAGCTTGCATTTTTTCTGCATTGTGGATACATTGCCTCATGCAGTATCAGTAAATCTCTATTTTATTTTGGACTTAAATAAAATTTGAAATATGACTTGCAGTTTTAGTTGGAATCCATTTCTTAGGCTTAAGTAAAATGTTTACTGAACATTGGAGAAGACAGAGCATTTATCAGAAACTTGAAATCCCTTCTTGTGGTACAAGCTCTGAGCCTGTTTCTGCAAGCATGTGAACACAGTGTATACTCTCAGTGTGGACAGCAAAAGAGGTATATACAGTGTTTTCAATGTCAAACTTAACCAGTAACTTCCCCCTAATTAAACTAAACCATTTCTGGACGCATCTGTAATCCATAGGTGTTCTGTGCGTTACTCCTCATCAGGAATGTTGGGGGATGCATTCTGATTTTTAATGTTCAATGCTAGAATGACCAAACTAAAATAATATTCATATGGTAATCTAAACTGTTCGAAAAAGTAGAATTGCATTACTGTATACAGTGGAAAGCTATTTATTGTACCTCTGGGCTTATTCCTCTAAAAATCGTAGCGTAAAAAAAATCTTTGTCAAGCCTGAACTGATGTATATAACTGAAATAATGTAAAGTTATATTTTCATGTTTTTATACTTAACAACATGATGGGAATACATAACGTATGAGTATTTCAATTACAGATAATATTGATTGGATAATACACATCTCAGTTAAAAAGCAGTAATCATAGTTTAATATCCATGTTACCGTACATCAGTATATTGCTATATAAAGTATGTCTGTGTGCATTTAAGTGAAAAGTAGTCAAGAGTGATGAAAGCTGTCCAAGGGTTTTTTATTCATTTTATATGAAAACTGTTATGGAGCAACCAAAATGTTTATGAACTCAAACTTGTGTAAATTTCAAAATGTCCTTTTACTGTAGCTTTTTGTTTACAGTACAGTATCTTATTTTCTGCTTTGTTAAATGAGTAACGGTACAAAGCTGGACATACACTTTCTAAGACATTAACGTTCCCGTTTTTTCATGTATACCTATATGACAGAAGATGCTTCTGATTTTATTTTTCAATCTAACACATGATGGCTTTTCTGGAGTGTTGTATAAACTTCAATCATACATAAAAAATCTTCTTAAAAAAGGCAAAAGACCTTTAATGTCTGCTTAGTATTATTGAAATCTGGTTTCTTATTTATTATAAATGTATTTTCCTAAGATTTTACATAGAGCAAACCTGTTTGTCCCCACAGACATGAAATTTCCTTGAAGAGTTTTGCAAGGAGAATATAAATCTTCCCCCAAATCGTCTTGTCAGTCAAGGGTAGATTTACTGTAGTTTGCGTTATCACTAAACGAAGTACTGTAACTTTCTTGCCAACAATATAATTGTATTTCTGGAATGTAACCTTCTGGATCGTGGTTATAATGGCAGTGTGATAGGATGATAATGCTAGTAGGTTAAGTATCTGTTCAGTAACTCTACTTAAAAATTGTCAGCTTGAATCAGTAGTTTTTTACTTCAACAGATTGTTGATGTGTCCAAAGCAGAGAAAGAACCTGAGAAATGGCAAGTGTTTTAGGTATATATTAGTAGTGTCGCTACTAGAGATCTAGTACAACAAAGAGTTCGCTGTAATAGCAAACAAATTGAGTCTGAAGAGGCTTGCAATGTGAAAGGTTCAACATTTTTATTTAAATGTATTACACATTTTAACAGAGTGTGTTTCAGGGGTATTGGCCTCCTCTTTGGCTGACAGATGTAGACAATATCTTTACACGAAGTACCGTGCAGAAATAATTGTATGTAAAATACAAATACATGATTTCAGCTATCATTTCGTACAGTTAGTTATATGAATACAGTGGTCACCAGCAAAACGGAATCATCAGCAGTTGTTCTACATGATATCCCTAGAGGCTACTCGGACCTGTTTCACAGTACCAAAGTTTATTGTTTATTAAATCTTTTCATTTAAGCTGTCATGGGATCACAAAAATTCGCTGTGAGACATCTATCAGGTCCAGATTATCTTAGGAATTCATATTATATCAAGCACAGAATAAAATTCATACTGAGCTGTTGACTTAACTTTGAACATTTTTCCTAGCATCAGTTTTTGTAGATAACGGAGAGTACTATATACCTATGTGAGACATAATAGAGTTAGGGAATTGTACAGAGTAATGGCACCTATGTGACAAATTTCATTCAATCAATGCCTACTATTGGTCTTCCTGAAATTTCTGCTCATACTGCTCCTAATAGTCTAAACTTCAGGGCTTCTTCAAATAGGTTAATGGTAAAATTGCCCTAAAATTGTTCTTTTTTCTGTCTTGAACGCTATCTTTCCTCTCTCCCCAAAGAAGAAATTTGGTAAGAATGTCTACATCTAATATCTGGGGACCTACGGGAACTGATAACAGCTTCATAACAGAGAGTCTCAATTAATTCTTCTTGCATTTAGTAGGTGTCAACTCCTTGTATTCTGAAGTAACTGTAATATTCGTAATGCATCCTTTTTTAGAGATTTCCTTAAAGTAGTGAATATCACTTTGATGATCACAACTTCAGTTAGAGTCATTTAGTGCTTTAACACTAAAATTTATTGAATTGATATTCTTTGGAAAAAATAAATCTTTAAATTATGATTTTTGTAAACAAGTGGCAAAAAAATAGAACATGGTAAGATACAATACAAAAATTCTGAGAATTACAGATTAACTCACCTGCAGCTTTTACGTGTCATGAGGCCTTCCCACAGTCCCTAATCTTATCGTTAGGGCATATTACATGATGCGCTTGCTTTGTTTCCCTCTTGCCCCACCACATGCAGTTAGTTTAAATACGTACTTTTTAGCTTGGTAGGCAGATAGGAAATAGGATTATACTTACTATAATTTTTAAAAAAATGATTTGGCAGTCATTAAAAATGTTTATTATAGCTCATTGCATATGTCTCTGTATTAAAGAAGCAGTGATGATAAAGGTAGGAAGGATATCTCAGGCCATCTAAGCTAAACCCTTAATGCAAGTGGCATCATCTACTGCACTGTTCTTCTGTCAGTCTCCTTTGCACATCTCTTACTGCTAATGAAAATTTGGCTACCTCTGTAGACAGCTCAGTGCTTTACTTACCTCAGTGGTAAGAAAATTCTTTATACCTCAAAGAAAAGCACTTAATTCCACAAAGTTGTCCAGTGAATGACTTCGTAGCGTTTGCCCAAAGTTCTTCCGCACAATACACTTACAACTCTCACTCGACAGGAAAGGACCATTCCTACGTGCTGTAGGCATAGAGAAAAAGTTCACATTTCATTTGTCATTATTTTTGACAAATGTTGACTTTTCAAGACTGACTTAATCTGTGTTAAAGCATTTACTCCGACTAGTCTTCCAACTGAAGATTGTGTTTTAAAATACATATTTAAATTAAAATGGGTTTTATTTATTTGCTTTGAAGATCCTAAACCTAATTTTGAAAATGTGTCTTATACAATAGGAAAGGGCTGCTAAACATTAGTCTCTGGGCCAGCCCCTTGAAACTGTCTTCAGTTAGTTCGTATCTGGAGGTGGGGGCAATGCTACTAAGAAAGGGGTTCCAGTGGATCCCATGAGCTCTGCAGGACCATGCTGCCTCCTTTGCATCTTTCCATGCACAGAAGGCAGGCAGGTGGGCAAAGCTGAAACAGGAGTTGGAGAGGCAATTTTATGTCATTCTTCTGTCCTCCTTCAATCCTAAAAGGTGAAGGAGCATCCAACGGAGACACCAGAGAGGATTTATCCCTATTTTCTAAGGATTAAAAATATACTCACAATTTTTTTTTTCTTTTAAAAACCCACTGTTAGTGCACTTTTGAAATGATAATTCTATGTTTTATTTTATGGTAAACAGTTCTTAAAATGGGAAAATTGTTTCCAGAGTCATTTACTGTTAGTAATGTGTACACATACTAGCTTCTTAGAAGGGGACAGCCCAGAGTCCTTCTGGCATGTGCTTTACTGAAGCATCGAGAGCCTCTTGTTAAAAATATTCTTGGAGTCTTTTATATGACAACTTTTTACCCAATTTTGAAGTTGTATTGTTACTGCCTGCCCTTCAGCACCATGTTCTCTGGGTTAAGAGAAAAATGTAATTAAAGAGGTCAAGCTATAGCTCTTTCACTTAATAGTATGCTTTACAAATAACATAATATTTTTCAGTAGTTGGTTTCCTTATGAGTTTCAGTATAAATGACAAACACATTTTGGGTTACTTCATACTCCTAAATAGCGGAATATTCACATAAATATATTTTCTGGTTTTGAACAAGCAGATATTTTTTATACTGTCACAATGACTAAAGATAAAATAATACAAGCTACATGATTTTTACTTAGGTGCTTCTTTTTATATTTGTTACTGTTGTTTTTAATAATTTCACAAAACTGTTAGAAGAATATTTACATTAATTTGGAACTAAGTGGCTTGGCAGCTAATACAAGTTACCTGTAGCTGGAATTCATCATTCAGTTTCAGCTACTGTGTTAATAAATAAGCGGAGTTGCTGGTATGTGAAAATGAAGATTGTGGATGTTCCAGTATATATGTATGTATACATATCCATACACAAATATGGAAATGCAGTAAGTAGTAAAACTAGTGCTGAGTTTGATAAGGCCGTACTCAAAAATTATGATAACTACAGCAATAATTCATAGTAGGGCCAGTAGCGAGAGGAAGGTTCATAAGCAAGTGCCTTACCACCTTTAGTTTGAATAAATGTGGAATCTTACATTTCCATAGGACAGTATGAGTCCCCATGGGACTCAGTCAGCAGTGAATCCCGTAACTTCAAAATCTGGTGTAACTCCTGTGATTGTCTTTGTTCTCACTGACCGGATTAAGTTCTACAGAACTTCTGTGAGAAAAACGGGCTCTTCCACACTACCTTTGGCCTACACAAAAAGGTCAAATGAAAGCTACTGCATGCGTCATTGCCTCTCACTTCAGCGGCAGGGACGATGGGTTTATGTATATGCATGTATATGCTTGATTTTTCAAATTACACTGTCTTACCTATTTAAAAATCCACATAATTGATCTGAGAGGCTCAGGTTTAGTTAAATCTAACATTACATGAACAAGGACAAACAAAACATTACTCTTTGTAAGTTATTACTTGATTTTCTGAACCAAAACCTCGATAAGAAGTTAATGCCTCCAGAACAAAATACTGGGCATTGACAGGGCTGAATACTACACTACCTACTTTGAACATTGTGCAATAATATATACTGCTATGGTGCCGTGGCAGAATTCTGTCCACATTTTGTATTATTTTTTCACTGGCATAGCCAAACAAGTAGTATAAGCTATAGGAAATCACTCTCACAGTGCAGGCTTGGCCGACAATTTTCAGGCAATTTCTATTGATTGGTTGTATCTGTGGCATTACAACGTTCTTTAAATCTGCACCTGCTGAATATAAAAATAAAGTGTGTGATAAACTGTTTTTATAAAGCCAATATCTTCAGTGAAAGCAGGATTTTACTTGACATGTTTTCTTTTTCCTGACGGCTATACTTCCCTAAAGTACTTGTTTTCCACAGGAATAGTTTTCACTCTTTTTCACTGTATGCTCTTGCTTATTCTAGGGGACCTAAAAAGATATAAATATATTTTTTTAGCATTATAGATCCACAATTAGATGTGGGAGATGCTCATCAGTTCTGCTTAGTCCACCTTATAAGCTGCCTTCTATAGGAGAACTTTGTCATTTTATGCTTGTAATTTACTTTTTGTTCTTTTATCATTGGGACAGATTTTAGCACATTGAGGAAAAAAAGTAACATTGCATAACCTGCTTGCTGATTTGAGATGTAGCCCAAGTCATTCAAAGTCATTCAGCTGATGAGCGTGTCCCGTGACTCACACCTCTTAAAGAATCTTTCTCAAACAGCAGGGACAAAGACTGCTCTGAGGAGAGTAAGGTAATACGCTTCGGTCGGATCCTGCCTCGCTGAAGTCCAGGGAAGCTGGGGCGTCAGGACCAAGTCTGAACCTCCCAGTTGTCTGTATGCAGTCACGCAGTGATCTCCCCTGGGATCACCGCACTTGTGCTCATGCTAGCAAAACTGAATTGTTAGCACGGTCAAAATGCAAAAACTGT